CTGGAGAGCTGTAAAGAGGGTCTGTGACTGAGTAATAGAGCTTCTGCTTGGCATGCAGAAGGTCCCAGGTTCAGTCCCCAGCAGCATCTCCAGTGGAAAAGGACCAGGCAGGAGGTGATGAGAAAGACCTCTGCCTGAGACCCTGGAGAGCAGCTGCCAGTCTGTGTAGACAACACTGACCCTGATGGACCAATGGTCTGATTCCGTGGAAGGCCAGCCTCATGTGTGTTCCGGCAGAGTTCATAGGGGACGGCATCTCCAGTTGCCAAGCTGAGCTTCACACTCAGAGGAGGAGTCCGGGGGGGGGGGGGGGGGGACAGACAGAGCAGCTTGAAGGAAAGGTTTGGATCAGAGTGGGAAGTGAAGGTGCTTTCCTAAAGAAAAGATAGATGCAAAGCCCCCAAAGTTACGCTTCTTCCCCCTCCGGCTGCGTGATGTTTTCAGGTGGTCCGCCCTCATCACTGCTGTTTGTTTCAACCATTTCTCTTTTTCCCTGATGTGTGGAAAGGTGACCGACTGTCCTCCCCCCCCCCAGATATTACCGTCTGGATTCATTCGAGTCTTGTGGGGGGGGGGCAGGTGGAGGGTTCCCCACCTCTCACTCGGTCTTTGTTCCGTCTGCTGTGCAGATCAAGCCGTGGAGGAAGCTGAAGAACATGGTCCACTGGTCCCCCTGCGTCGTGTCCTTCCGGAAACGCTACCCGTGGGTGCAGCTGGCCGGCCATGCAGGTGACCGTGGGGGGCGGGGAAGAGGGCCCACGTGTTCTGTATGGGAGGGTGCCCAACAGGTGTGCTTCAGCGGCTGGCAGCTGTGCTGTAGTGGGTGCCTGTAGCTGGATTCTAGCTCCACCCCCCACCCCGGAAGAAGAAGAAGAGGAGATTGGATTTATACCCCATGGCCCTTCACTACCCAAAGGAGTCTCAGAGCGGCTCACAAACCCCTTTCCCTTCCCCTCCCCACAACAGACACCCTGTGGGGGGGGGCTGAGAGAGCTCTGACAGGAACTGCTCTTTTCCCAAGGACAGCTCTTATCAGAGCTACAGCTTGCCCAAGGTCATCCAGCCAGGTGCAAGTGGAGGAGTGGGGAATCAAACCCGGTTCTCTCAGATTAGAGTCCGCGCACTTAACCACAACACCAAACTAGTAACCTTTTCTCTGGGGGAGTGATCCAGAGTGGCCAACCGTAGCCCGCTCTTGCTGTCCGAGGTAAAACATTTCCTCCCCTCTGTCCGCGCCCCGCCCCCACCACTCTCAGTGCCTAAATATTATGAGCTGGGTTGGCTTGACTGCATGGAAGGCAGGAGGGACTGCAAGGGGGCCATTCTGCCTGGCCTGCTGCCCTGGCTAAGCCTCCCTCCCCCCCCCCGCCCGGGCCAGAAGCCGTTGTCTGGCTTTTCCTTTGGCGTCATGGACCAAAATGTTTGGTTGCTCCATGCTCCTTTACTGTTGGCCAGGAGCCCCGTTTGTCCTGGAGTTCAGAGACTTTGCCAAGCCAGAGAGAGAAGGGAGCGTGAGGGTCACAGGGAGGGCCCGGCGGCACTCTCCGTCAGCGCCTGCCTGCTCTTCACCTTTGCTGCTTCTCTCTCTGCAGGCAACTTCAAGGCCGGGGATTTTGGGCGCATCCTGAAGAAGTCCTGCTCCAATGAGCAGCAGTGCCTGGAGCGCCTGGCGTCCGACACATTGCAGCCCTACGTGCCGGCGTATTACGGCCTGGTGGAGCACGACGGGGAGACCTACATCCAGATGGAGGACCTCCTCTTCGGCTTTGACGCCCCCTCCATCATGGACTGCAAGATGGGAGTCAGGTGAGCCCTGGAACCAGCGGGCCGGAACGCCCAGGGAGGGTGCGGGGGGTGTGCCACCCCGAGGCCTAACGCCGCGTTCCCCTCGCAACAGGACGTACCTAGAAGAGGAGCTGGAGAAGGCGCGGGAGCAGCCCTGTCTGCGCAGGGACATGTACGACAAGATGGTGGCTGTGGACCCCGCTGCCCCCTCCCCAGAGGAGCACGCCCAGCAAGCTGTGCTGAAGCCCCGATACATGCAGTGGAGGGAGACTCTCAGCTCCACCACCACCCTCGGGTTCCGGATCGAAGGCATCAAGGTAAGGCACAGGCTGGGAAGCAGTGGCTCCGTGGAAGCACCTCTGCTTGGCATGCAGAGTTCAATACACGGCAGCATCCCCAGTTAAAAAGGACCAGGCAGGAGGTGATGGGAAAGACCTCCACCTGAGACCCTGGAGAGCTGAAAAGAGGGGCTGTGGCTCAGTGGCGGAGCCTCTGCTTGGCATGCAGGAAGTCCCAGGTTCGATCCCCGGCATCCCCAGTTAAAAGGGCCAGGCAGGAGGTGATGTGAAAGACCTCCGCCTGAGACCCTGGAGAGCTGTCAAGAGGTGCCGTGGCTCAGCAGTAGAGCCTCTGCTTGGCATGCAGAAGGTCCCAGGTTCGATCGCCGGCATCCCCAGTTAAAAGAGCCAGGCAGGATGGGGTGGGAGATACCTCCGCCTGAGACCCTGGAGATCTGTAAAGAGGGGCTGTGGCTCAGCCTCTGCTTGGCATGCAGAAGGTCCCCGGTTCGATCCCTGGCATCCCCAGTTAAAAGGACCAGGCAGGAGGTGATGGGAAAGGCCTCTCTGCCTGAGACCCTGGAGAGCTGTAAAGAGGGGCTGTGGCTCAATGGAAAAGCCTCTGCCTGGCATGCAGAAGGTCCCGGGTTCAGTCCCCAGCGGCATCTCCAGTTAAAAGGACCAGGCAGGAGGTGATGGGAAAGACCTCTGCCTGAGACCCTGGAGAGCTGCTGCCAGTCTGAGTCGACAGTGCTGACTTCAATGTGACTGATGTTCTGAATGCCAGCAGAAGACGGATATTCATATGTGTTCTGTGAACAAAGCTGGAGTCCAGAGGGCCCTTGGAGACCAACAAAGTTTCATTCTGGGCATAAGCGTCTGTGGGCACACTCCCACTTCTTTGGATATATGTGCAGGGAGATGGGGGGGGGTTCTCCTTGGGACTCGGTATTGCTTTTAAAAAACCAACCCAAACGCGCCCCGTTTTGCTCTCTGTACAGTGAGATGGAGCCTGGGTCAAAGTTGGGGTGTGGGGAAAGGGCAGTGAGCACAGGGGGAAGCCCCCCCCGATTCCCTGCTGTTGCTCTGCCCTGGGGGGCGATTTGTGCTCTGCCCCTGGCCGCCGTGCCTGACCCACCGGGCGGGTCTCTCTTCTCCCCAGAAAGCCAACGGGGCATGCAGCACCAGCTTCAAGAAGACCCGGCAGCCCGAACAAGTGGTGCAGGCCATCTGGGACTTCGTGGACCGCGACCGGCACATTCTGGTGAGGAGGCGGTGGGGGAGGCGGCTGCCACTGCACAAAAGGACGGGTGGTGTCTTGGGGCAGTGCCAGTGGGCACGTGTGGAAACCCATGAGTCATGGCCGGAAAGGACAGGGTGAAGAAGAAGAAGAAGACGACGACGAGATTGGATTTATACCCCATGGCCCTTCACTACCCAAAGGTTGACAAACTCCACCCCCCACCCCGGAAGAAGAAGAAGAGATTAAATTTATACCCCATGGCCCTTCACTACCCAAAGGAGTCTCAGAGCGGCTCACAAACTCCTCTCCCTTCCCCTCCCCACAACAGACACCCCTGTGAGGTGGGCGGGGCTGAGAGAGCTCTTGACAGAAATGGCTCTTTTTCAAGAACAGCTCTTATCAGAACTACGGCTTGCCCAAGGTCATCCAGCAGCTGCAAGTGGAGGAGGCGTGGGGAATCAAACCCGCTTCTCCCAGATTAGAGCCCGTGCACTTAACCACTACCACCGCATTCCTGATGCTTCTTTCCTTGGCCCGGGGAGTTTCTCCTGTGCCAGTTCCCTCCCTCCACCCTGACTGGCATCGGAAGGTGTGCAGAGGCACCCCCAACCGCTCTCTGACACACACCCCCCCCGCCCCATGGCGGTGCATTGCTGCAGGCAGATCAGAGCTCAAGCAATTGCGGAGGAGCCCCCCCCCTTCCCCAGGAGTCTGACGCCACACAGCCTCCAAACGCTCTCTTCTCTCCCTCTCTCTAGACAAGCTACCTGGGACGGCTGAAGGACCTGAGGCTGGCTCTGGAGCAGTCGGACTTCTTAAAGGCACACGAGGTGGGTTTGCGGGGGAACCTCACGGGGGCTACCTGATCCAGTATTCTGAGTTAGCTGCATGCTCCCCCCCCCCGCCTCCCTCCTGGGAAGTCCATCTCGTCTCTCGGCCGGGCCAGAACCTTCCTCTCTCTCTCGTTTCCAGGTAGTGGGCAGCTCCCTGCTCTTTGTCCACGACCAGACGGGGCTGGCTCGCGTCTGGATGATCGACTTCGGCAAGACGGTGCCTCTGCCTGCCCAACAGACGCTGACCCACCGGCTGCCCTGGGTGGAAGGCAACCGCGAGGACGGCTACCTGTGGGGCTTGGACAATCTCGTCGCGATCCTGGAGAAGATGCTGAGCGAGTGAGCTCGGGCCAGAGACCCGCCATGCGGCCAGACTCTCCTCGGGCGGCCGCCGGAGACCAGGATGGCAACGCCCGGCCCGGCTCCAGCGCCCACCCCCTCCTTTAATTTATTCAGCCAGATATGCTACTGCTGCCCGGAGGTGGAACTGGAAAGAGACGCCGGCGGTGCCGGAAGCCCACTGCCAGGTGGACAGGAACGTTGGGAAAGGGAACGTCTGGTTCGGCCCAGCCGGAGTTCTTGCACCTCTTTAAGTTATTTATTGTAGGAGAAAGGGATAGGGTTTTTTGGGGGGAGGGGGCCTTTTGCTGTGGGTCTCTGCCTCTTCCCCGAACTGCTATGCCGTGGGGAGAAAACAGCCCCGGGGACTTGGCGTGTGGGCGCCTTCAGGGAATCGGGAGCCACCCCCGGGAGCAGCCGGATCCCGTGAAACCGGCCGGGCCGCTCTTTATCACCCAGGATGAGTGTTTGAGCCACCGGCAGAGTGTCAGGGTTTCTGGGGGCATCTCGGAAAGCGAAAATAGGAGGTAGAGCTTATCTCCTCCCGCCGCCACCCACCTGTGCCTAACTTCCTGGAACCAGGCTGTTTGGTTTGGCAGAGAGAGAGAGAGAAAGGGGAGCTGTCTACCCCCCCCCCCCCCCCCGATCTGGATCCTCCCCCCACTACGGTGGCTGCTGAAGGGACCGGACACCTCTCCCCCACCCCGGCTGGCGGCCAGACAAGAGCTCCTCTCTCGCCTCCTCAAAGAATGGGGGGGGGGACTCCCAAGAGCAGCTGGGTTTGCAAGTGACCGCTTTGACCTCAGCCCCTTGCCCAAGTGCCTGCCTGTGGTGCTAAACCAGGGAAGGACTTAGTGAAAACCAGTCTTTTTTTGGGGGGGGGACTTGTTTCAAATGCTAGTTCTGGCCCTCCAGTGAAGAGCACAGCTCCCTCTGTACTTCTGTGTAGATGTGGACACTGAAAACATTGTTAAAGGGACAGGACTCGGCTGCTGCTCTGGTGTGTTTTCTTTCATGCTTCTTTCTCCGTGGGTTTTTTTTTGGGGGGGGGGCTCTGCCTTTCCTTCCACCCCATAACGTGCTCCGTGTGACGCTCAGTTGCACTCGGGCCAAATCCCAGTCCTGTGTGCGCCGGTGCTGAACAGTCTGTGGGAGGTCTCTGCCAGCGCCCCGCTGGCTTCCATCTCAAGTGGTGAAGGTTCAAGCGCTTCCCCACAGGAGCACTGCCACACACACCCCGCCCCACCTAGAACACGGGAACTAAGTCCGGCACCAGCCACCACATCTCTTACATAAGAACATAAGAGAGAAGCCAATGTTGGATATCAGGCCAATGGCCCATCCAGTCCAACACCCTGTGTCACACACAGTGGCCAAAAATACCAGGGGCCATCAGGAGGTCCACCAGTGGGGCCAGGATACTAGAAGCCCTCCCCCTTCCCCCCCCCCCCCAACTGACAGAATTTAGATTGCATGCCTCTAGGACAATATTTGATTGACTGATTTTTGCTGATGTCATTTTGCAAACCATCAGGTATGTCAACCATTAGTCCTGATAAAGGGGGGAGGGGACAAAGCAGATGGCTCCTGTCCTTCTTCCCTGCATGTGTGTGTGTGTATAAAGTAAAAGGTAAAGGTTCCCTTGCTCGAAAGCCCGTCGAGTCCGACTCTAGGGTTGCGGTGCTCATCTCCATTTCAAAGCCGAAGAGCCAGCGCTGTCTGAAGACATTTCCGTGGTCATGTGGCCGGCATGACTAAACATCAAGGTGCACGGAACGCTGTTACCTTCCCACCGAAGTGGTACCGATTTCTTCAAGCTAAAAAGCCCCAAGCGCTTTCACCTTTTTTCATAGGGAAAGTGTTCCAACCCTTTTATCATTCTAGTTGCCCTTTTCTGCACTTTTTCCAATGCTATAATATCCTTTTTGAGGTGGTGTGACCAGAACTGTACACAGTCCTCCAAATGAGGTCCCTCCCAAGTGAGGGAATCCGGTAAACCCCCCCCCCCCCCCGTCTGCACTGATACTCAAGGGCTGGATGCTGCCTCCACGGCACATGTGTAGCCGCCCACTGCAAGCACTGCACCCTCACAAGGATAGCCACATCCTCCGTATCTTACAGGAAGCCTCAACATGGTCGCAGGGCTCCCCCCCCCCCAAATGGCCCCTGCTCCCACCATAGAGAACAATGGAGGGGATGGGGGCAACCTGTTTGGGGGCCTGTAGAATTGGACCCCCTGGTCCACTGTTCTTGAAACTTGGTGGGTATCTTGGGGAGAGGCTCCAGCAGCTACCCTGCGAGTTTGGAGCCTCTCCCTCAAACCCCCTCTCCTCCAGCCCCCAGAATATACCCTATGTTTTTGCCATTGACTTCAATAGCCCATAGGATACAATGGGGCCGAAATTGACATTGGGCTGGCCTATCGACTCCCCAATTGGCTGGTACTGCCGAAATTGACATGCGGAAGTCTTTCTGCCATCTGAAATTGATTTTGCCGAATCCGAATGGGGCCGAATTTTTTTTTTTTTGCACACCCATAAAGTGGAGTCAAAGACGTACCGTGGCAGGGCAGTAGTGGTTCCGCAACTCCCTTCCACGTTGCCGGAGACCACTCGTCTCCCCACCCCACCCCCAGGTCTACATCTTCAGCCAATGTATAGTGGCCTGTTGGTCTTCAAAAGCAACACTCTGTTTCTCCAGACCCTCACACAAATACACCCATCCCTCCAGCTGAATGTGGTCACCTCCTCCAAGCTTTCAGTGTTTCACACTCCAGCGAGCAAGGATTGATTCACCCACCAGAATGTTTGGGTTCCTGTGGAGGGCCGACATGTCGCTTGAGGTCAAAGGGCAGCCATGGACCCAGCCTGCCTCTGCAATCCCCCAGTCCCACCCCCCCACAACCCCACCCACCCTGGAATCTGTGACAGCTGCCGGAGCATCATTTTGGTTCTCTTCCCCA